TAATAGAAATCATAAAAGGAAGAAAGAAAAGTAAAAAAAGCCAAAAGCATTTTAAGGACTATTTTCCGCTGGTCAACTCTCTTGACTAAGGAGTAGTCTGAAGGGACAACATCAGAAATAAAGAACGACTGACTTGTGTCTCCTAGGTACCATTCTGTGTTATTCTTGTAGTTGGCCCACAGTGCGTTGGCAATCACGGTGAAGATAGTGAGAAACGCAAGGAGGAGAATCAGCACCAGTATCTGAGATGACAAGAGAAGAGCAGATAAAGCCATAAAAATGTATGCCCTGTGGAAAAAATAATAATAAAACTAGCACAAAAGTTGACTAGTTAACTACACATTTAGCGAGAATGCGAAAAATTGTGGGCTGCAACCCCTCATCAAGTGCATGTTTTATGCGTACGTTCAAACACCGTTTGATTACGGGGTGCTACACCTGCGCATTGGGATGCAATCTAGAGTCCTCGCAGGCGGTATTTTAGCGACCAACAGATATGTATTTATAAAACGTTCCGGCAAAGCCTGTGGAGACTAGGATGGCTTTTTTCTGGCCAATTAGCCGTCGTCAGTCTGTCATACCCCAGCCCGTTATTTCAAAACAGCCCTGAACGTCCTACATCATCCAGGAAGCTACGCCGAAGTAAATGTCTTCGCATGCCGTTGCGTCCTGAATTACGGATATACCTGTTATTACGCCGAATTTCGCCTGTACTTAAAGCCAAGGACTATCAAGAGCAAGTGCGTATTGCAATATTTTTAAAGGTACCGAAATCCCTCAATCATTTTTTTTCCTAGTGATAAGTAGGTAAAGAAATCTGTATAAGTTCCGGCTGTAATGCAGTAGGCAAAATGCTTTATGACTGTATGGGGTTTGCAGAAAGGACTTAATAGCACTTCCTCCCTATAACTAATCAAAATATACTACACTGAGCGTAGGGCAGGCATCTGGGTGATGCAAATGTAAACCGAGCACGCAGTTTGGAACATTAGGATTTTTCTTTAATGTGGGTGAAAAACAAGAGGAAGAACCGATTAAAAGTAGAAACTCGCCGAAAGATCCGCTTTCGACTGGGTGCTGTAGTGACCACCTACTGACTTGTTACGACCGCGATCATGCCTGATCTAGCCGACGTCGATTATGTCCCGGATGATACTGCTCCACGCGTGACAATCAGTGGCAGCAGACCTGAAAATTTTAATTCATTCTCTTCGCCAACGCCGGAAGCTGAATACCGAAGATTCAAGAACCAATTCCTGTCCTGACGGAATGAGTTGAGCCAGGTTTGAGCTCACCCCCTCCTCGATGTCTCCAATTAGGAAACGGTGTCGGATCGAGGGTAGTAGCATTGAATTCGTAAGGTTGACAACGAAGGCTGTTGCCCTATCCGCCACTTGTGGACGCGCTCGGTAGCCAGCAGTTAGGCTAACGGGCAACCCGCCTTCCCAGTAGCCTGCTTGGTTGAGGCCTACAGGGCTGATGATTGAGTTAAAGCCGAATTCTCATCCCACTAATCGCCTGTTTAAATGTTATGTCCAGTGTTTAGACGACGTCATGCTTTTGACTTTGACGCCACGAGACTTATTGGGCGAGCCGAAAACGAGGTGCAAGACTCATGGGAATTTAGCCACGCGTCACCTCCTCTAAGATGAGTCTGTTTAACCATCTCCAAAATCCCTGACAAGTCTACGCAGCCAGGCTCAGGGGCCTAGGATGGGCAATTGTCATCGAGGTCCGAGCAATCGGTCGCCCGGCCGGGTGGCGAATAGAAAAGGTCTTGCTCTTTGGTTCTTAAAGTTACATGTAAAGTGGGTTTGGATGGAAATACGAAATCTCAGAATAATGACTCCTCTTCAACGTGCAGCACATGTGAATTAAAACATGCACAACCCTCGGTAGCAGTTCAACTGGTAGGGGACACGACTGTGCGCGCTACCAGATCTCACCTGTGGATTGAGTTGCCATCTGCCAGCAGATGTGGTCAGAGGGTCAGACATAAAGTGAGCACTTACAGAGGTGACTCACGTGTGATTTCAAGTCATTAAAAAAGAAGCAATTGTGGAATTGGAGGAGAGAAACCAAAAAATGTTAAAACCTCTCCTTCTTAATGAGCTCTTGGAGCCTACGTCGGGAAGCACGTGCAAAATAGTTCCCTGCGAGAACAAACGACGGCACGATTATTCCATAGAGGTTCGGCTTACATCAATTACGCAAAATTCGGAATTCCTTTGACAGTGAGTTAAAAAGGGGCTTTTAGAAGAGGGATTGGGCAGTTAAATAACCCTGCTTCATCCAACGTTCTTCGCCACGAATGCTTATGCGGTTGTTTCACCGCTCATGACACGCGCGCCATCAAACCTTCGTGAAGTTACTTGACCCTCATCATAAACCTAATGCACCCAAATTTCTTCCAAGTATTTTAATGTTCGGTTGGATTCATGCTGTTTAGCGCCACGCGCATGGCTGTCTGGCTTCTTGAAGAGCAAGCAGTTGTGTAATGGCCAACGACGGGGGCCGGAATGAATTCACGTGGTTTTCTAAGACTGAGAAGGCTAAAAATGCTGATTGAGGGAGCATATCTTCAGCAGCAGACCGTTGCTTTTGCACCTTCCGTCTCCCTCACAGACAAGTGTTGCCTCCCAAGTAGCGTGGTCTGAACCTACTCGCTCAATGAAGTTTTCTAAAGTGATAGGAGTCACTTTCAGTACAGAAACGGCGGCCGGGCAGATAGTCCATAGACCTTCTCCTTTAAGACATCAGAGCTGTTCACGGTCGGAACGTAGACGTTGGCGACGGTGACAAATTTCTTATAGAAGAGTAAAATGCAAAAAATAAAAGTATAATGTGATGAGGCAGGTGCTAGTTTTGTACGCGAGCGACAGTGGCGAGGGTGATTATCACATTTCTTCGTTCCTCTTTGATACAGCAACTCCGGAAGACGTAACTTATTCTTATTTTAGTTGTCTGTCCTTGATCAGCAAAACACGTCTTACTGTGGTCACAGGCAATCAGAGGTGTCACCACACCCGTTTAGTTGAGCACCAGGTTACTTAAAAGAGGGTGGATGTTCTAGGTCATCAGAAAAAAACAAGAATACTGCTGCGATGGAGAGGAATAAAGACGAGTTTTAGTTATGTTTGGTCTGTTTTGGCGTTTGCGCTTCTCACGTATAGCAGCACTCATTTATAAAAATTGTTCACTGCACCTGTTCCTGGGAAAAGGCAAGCAGTGCATGCACAAATAGGACAACCCAGACATTATAGGTGACCGCTGCACCTAATTATTGTTGGTGCGATGAGCGATGACTCAAATTGGGCAGTAAGCATAAATAATGCCTTAGGCACATAATACGGGCGCCTTTTCTCTTCACCACAACGGCAGAAGCTGGCCAAAATAGACGCTAAAAGGAACCGCCGAGACGTACATATTTGTTGATTTGCCTGTCGACAGACGACCGTTTGAGAGGCGCGGCCGCAGAGTTCAACATCACCTTCGTTTCTTTTCCGGTATAGAGGACAGCACCTAAGGTGGAAAGTGGAAGGCAAAAACGGATGGAATGAAACCAACAAGGCGACTGTATCTGTGTCTGACAAGGTAGACCGATGGATTAGGTGATTGAAAATTGCCCAATGGGAGGTAGCCCGGCTAATTTGTTACACATTCTGATAATTAAGAGCCTGGTGAATAAGTAGACTGAGGAGCACGATGGAAGTCTACTAGCTCATGTCACAAAAGGCTCGAATACAAATTACTTCCAGTACTAAGGCTCAAAGCGAGACAACAGAAGTATAGGCAAGACAACGTACTGTGTGCGAAATCTGCCTTGTTACAGGGACAGGATTATCCTAGAAGAGCCTTATAACTACGCTATAGTGGACAAACTAAACAATACGCTGTCTGTATATTCTCCTGAATAAAAGTTCTTGCTATCAGAACCGACTCTTTGCCTTCTTTCTGCCTACTCCTCGGGACGCAAGATGTCTACTTGTCTGCGGTGCTGAGGCCACCTTTTCTAAATTTGCTGCTGGCACTAGCCAAGTTGATATGCCACCTATACGTTAAGGTGGTGGGAGCGACCGTCTCTTCCGACCTGCCCTCAGTTCTGTTATATCTCCCAGGGAACTTTTGCGAATTAAGTGTAGCACCCACGATAGGGCTCTCGGATTTTCGCGAGGCCATTTAGGTTGCACGATACTCTGTAAGCTCCTCTTGTTTGCCCAAAAATCCCAGAAAAGAAAAGTTGGCAGTCCATACAAGTGGTAAACAGTGCTGGAGTGACAAAACAATATGATGATTTCGTTTCCGAAAAATATACGAAGCCGATAAAAAAAATCAGCATTTGAATCAAATTTTGCGCTGGAGTGACAAAACAATATGATGATTTCATTTCCGAAAAATATACGAAGCCGATAAAAAAAAATCAGCATTTGAATCAAATTTTGCGCCTTGTGAGTAGGATTTTAGCTAGTAATGTGCTTATTCCGTGACATTTGGTCCTAGGAAGCAAGATGACATGAGTAGGTTGACATTTATAATGGCGGATTCGCCAGGAACTTTTTCATGTTCGTCGATCTGGTTTCATTCTAAATTCACTAAGCACCACTAAAATCACTACGAGCAGACATTTGAAGAGTTGGGAAGTTAAGGCACAAATGTTATATCCTAGTAAACTGATGAGTAACTTTCCCTCAATGGGCATTGGTTGCACGGCGAAGTAAATCGGTGACAAATGTACACGAACAACATAATTTTCCAGGCCAACTGCCTATGAAATTCAAAAAAGCGTTGGAATGCAGCATTTAAAATCATACCAAAGATCCAGTTTGTGTTTTTCAGGGAAGAACCACGAAGTAAAAGTTGAGTTGGTCCGATTGGGTGTGCACTAGAGACGCTGATAATGCACGTTGGAAGATTGAAAAAGTTTTCTTATGAATTATAAGATAACGAAATTTTAGAAAACTGACAGTGAAAATTGCAGGGATATGAGAAGATAGAAAATAGGTAGTGTGACATTCATTATGCCAATGTCATATTCAGATTTTATTTGCTACTAACTGCGTGTTAGGACTTGGCCGAAGCATGTGTCCTTAAGCCCGCTTAGCCGTCCACGTGCTTTGTCTCACCCTTTGCCCACGTGCTTTGTCTCCTGTCCTGATCCTTTGACCTCGTTGGCTGCCTTCCCATTCGTTGACACATTGCGATCTTTATTCCAGTGTACTTATTCACCACTTCCCAAGGTCTTTGTTCCCCGCACCGTGTCCTTATTCACCCCCTCGTTCTTTGATTCCTGCCCCTGTGCTTATTCCCTTATAAACTGGCAGCAACGCGTCTGCATCATTCATGCGACTGCTAGTCTAAGCACCTCAAATGTAAGTCCACCCTCCCTTTGTTTTCTACTTCACACTTTGTAACTATCGTGCACTGCTAATCATACTGTTTATTTGTATAGAGTTACACTACACCACCACCGAGTTCTCCCGACTGCCTTTTTACTTATAAGGGACATGCGAGTCATCCCGATTGTCCTTTGACATAGCTTCTGACTTCTGACGAAAGTAGCACTGCATTACAGAAGGCTAAACAATATTAACAGGTGGGTCAGGTAAGACTACAGTGCCTACAATTTTCGTCACAAAAGTATAGACTCTCAATGAATGTGAAAACCTTGTACAGTAATCGCCGGTTATTAAGCCCACGGTTAATAGGCCCAGC